TTTTTTTCAAAAGATTAGATAAAATAGATATTAGGAAACAATTTGTCAACTATTTCCGTAAAATTGTCGGAAATTTCCTCAAAAAGAATTTAGTTATCGTAGTAATATATAACAAAAGACATTCATTCATATACACATTTTATTGCAATATAAATTATGATTATTAAATAATGGTCGATATTTTTGGTATAAAATATATCCGATATTGATTATATCATATCATATCATATCATACGATAGTTGTTATTGTATATGAATATTTGATGAGTATACTTTATTGAATGATAAATTAACATATTAGTAAGGGTTTTACTCCTATTATTAGTGATTGCATCACAAGGTTAACTATCTTATTTATAATTATTGTATAGATAATTAATCATCGCATTAATATGTATTGTTTCCGCTATCATTTATTTATTAGTTGCAAAATCATGCAAATTACTAAATGTAATTTTATTTTTATCAAATTTCATTTTTCATATTATTTATAGAAATAAATCCATCAAAATGATTTCTATGGTATTTTAATAGAAACTTTAAGCTTTACAGCAATATTCTAAAAGGAAATCACACCACTAACGACAGTGATATGATTTCATTTTATCAGATCGTTATCAGTTGAAAGGGAAATTTTTCAAAAGACATTTTTTCAAATGCTTAAAATATTAATTACTATAAATGATTTATCTAAAATACATCACATAAGGCAACTATAACAATGGTACTGTAACTCTTACCAAAAATTAAATACTTTATCGAATCAGCAGGAGATATACCGCGGTAAGTCAAATAAACTGCGAAGAGAAAGTTGGAATCACGAATGACAGGAAAATTTTACGATTAATCAACCTCTACGTATCAATGTAATTTGCATTTGATAGAGAGAAAGGGACAATTAAAAGGCATTCAAAAATGACAAAAATAACAGACAAATCAGTGGCGATTTGTAAACCTACTATCCTTAGAAAAGAAGGCAGTACGACTTATTAAATAATGAGGGGTTATGAAAATGGTAAGATTTACTACATGCTAAGATCATCCAACAATCAGAATAACTAAAGAATTGAACCATTCAACTGCAGCATTTAAAAAAGGCAGAAAAATTCCACAACAATAAACATAAACCTGAAATATATAAACAAATTATACAGCATAAACTTGATAGTAGCAAACATTTGTTGATTATTATCCACTGTTTCCAGAATATTTAACGTAAACTGAGTGACAGAATACTGAACATTAATGTCAAAATTTCAAATAAATGAATGAACAATGGCTGGTTTAAAAATGAATCTCAAAAAGTTTTCAAAGAATTGCTTCAGTCATTTTTCATTCAAAAAAAAGAAAAACTACTTTAACAGTTCAGTGGTTTTTTTTGCTTACAATATGTCAACGGAAAAGTAAAATCTTAAATTGACAATGCGGTATATGTGAAAAAAAAATCGTATACCATACAATCAATATATGTTCATCAAATAATCGTCCAACGACTATTTGATCATGATCAATCATTAAGAACCTAGATGAGATCAATTTAAACATGGTATTAGGGGGTCCAACTCATTACAAATCGGAACCTGTCAGCTTATATACTATAATACTGAATTCAATAACGAACAAATCCGTATTATTATATCAATAAAATTAATGACAAAAATTTACAAAACTTTAGATAAGTAGAGTTCGAAAGTTCAGACAGTTTTTATCACATTTAACAAAATCCCTAACGGTTTCTTGGGAGATCATGACAGCAAATACCGCTATTAGCAGAAAATTTTTAAGGCAATTCCTGGATCCGCTCATAGACCAATCGAAGCATCATATCACTGCGTGTTTTACTGTCAGCTTGTATATTTGAGGTAGGTTTCACAGCAAGTATATCACGTAATCGATGCAATGACTCCAACGTACCAAATGCTGATACCACAACTCGATCTGAAAGCTTTTCTATAGAAGTAAAGTAATAGTAGTAAATGCAAATGATGCAGCAATCTGTTTAAATTGAACCTTAACATATCAGAACTAGTGAAAAAAAAGAAAAAAAAAGCGAAACTCGAACTGCTGACACAGTTCAGATCAACGTCAAACTTAAACATTATCGATCTTTGGATGAACTTAGTGTGCCAGTTTGCACATTGTGTTTTCGGAATATCGATACTCGAAACCAGTATGATAAATTTTGAAACAGGAGAAGTAATTCCTATACAAAACTTAATTCCTATTAAATTTTCCTGCTTACTGGGTTCTGTCATGAAATTGACAAGTTATTTGCTAATAAACCACATAACACGTTTGAAATACAGGTAGACATTAATTACCAATAAATTTGATTAATAACTAAGTGATTTCAAGTTGAAAACCAACTTTTTCTATATGGGATTCTTCTCAAATGTAGATAGCGCACGCCCGAATATTTCATCATTTTAATTCTCAAATGTTCATCATGAGATCGCAAATCTTCCGGTAATTCGATAGTAAAAGGTTCAGCTTCGATAAAACTCTGTAGCTGAAATTTTGAAATAAGAATACAGTCTGTAAATTCAAACATTGTGTAACATCACAATTATCACTCGTTTTGACAAATTTAACCATAAAAACGTGAATCATCATCATACAAATAATTATCCAACTATGATTCATCATATTTGTCATTGCTCGCATCAATGATAGATTAAGTTAGACAAATCGAACTTATAAGTGACACTTACAGATAAAGTAATAGCTGACATCTGCCCTCTTTCAAATACTGGCAATTCATCGAAATGATTAGTAAGCACTATTCGATAGAAAGTTTTGACAGCCACCTAAAAAGTGATTGGCTGAAAAGTATACAAATCAAGATAAAAAGATAAGTTTCAATATTTCCAAAAAAAAAAATCCATGATCCGTAATTTTCTTTTTAGAAAGGATTATAAATAAATTCATCCAATCAAAGAATAACAAATAATGCTGAAATTAAATGAAAACAAAGCGAATTGTTAATAATAGTGTTAGATATTAATAATAGTGATACGTGCTTAAAATGGAAGATGAAGACCTGATGCAAATCGAACCACTGGCCACGCATCAATATTGACTGATATCCGAGATTTGGTTGCATAAAATTAAAAACTTTCATTATCTCGAATGATCGTGAACTCAAATATTGAAGAAATCGCAGGAAACATTTGCCGATACCACCAATTAGGTTGTTTAAATCTTGATCTTCATTTGAATTTTCCGGAGGAATTTCATCAGTCTGAAAAAATTTTTGTTCAAATATATGATTTAGTTGTCAAATTAAACAGAATTATGTTCTGCGATAGCAAAGGAAAAAATTAGGGAACAGGAGATTTAAATGAAAGTGAAATTTTGAATTTCGAAGAGTTTCCCGGGTTAAACAAATTTCAAAGTTGAGCTGTATGAAATAAGCATTATACCAAAGGTTAATATCTTCAATATTCGAAAATATTCTAAATTGTTTTAATCAAGCAAGAACCAGACAAACTAATAAAGCATATAAACAGCATTTTCCAAAATAGGAATTAAAGAACACATCAAATAACTGTCACGCAGAGAGAACTACGAATTACATGATCCAATCTGTTCAAGAAAACCTGTTCAAGAAAAACATAGCTCCGCATGTTTTCACCGCTTATATATCCCAAACCATACTGTATTAGCAACAAACATAAATGCTCTCGCTTTAGTCGTCCTTCAAATAATCGTTGTTGTTCACCCCATTTGCATAACACGTAAAATAATTTGTCCAACCCTAAAATGGTAAAGTTCACAACTATACATCAGAACTTCTTTTCACATGTCAAATTTGGAAAATCGACAAAACGAATATGGTGAATTTACAAAAATTTGCTTGCAGCAAATCCTAGAATGGCTTCAATAGAACATTTAATTATTGCCTTTATATTTTCTGCAATATCGCTTTATGGCATGTAGACCAGATGCACCTTCCGTTAAAAATCTTATAGTTTGATCAAAATCCATTTCATTATCACCACAAAAACATGTCAGAATCTAGAAATTATCAGCTTTTGTATTTCTAATTAAGAAGTAACCTGGAGAAAAAATTTAGAAGAAAAAATTTAGAGGAAAAATTTCATTCTGAAAGCAGAAATCCATGATAAGAGCTACAGGAGAAGGATTAGAAGAACGAATGGATACTACCTAGGCAAGAACATTATGCATAAAACCTCCTGCTATTTCAAGCATATTTAAAAATCACTTCAGTTTGTAATTTATAAAAGTGTGAATACAAAATTCCCTCCTAAAATTGAGCTGTTTGACTTGTACATCACATGAAGAAGGGATTATTAATTCTATACATCTTCAGTCGCTAAGACATCTAAATACGACCAAAAACTTGAAAATTCGAAATAAAAAAAAGAAAATTCTGACGTTTGATATGTGGTCATATAGAGGATCGGTGGTTAATATATTTTGCGATGTTATCACACAATTCTCTTTTTTTATTTCAGCAAGTATGTCCCATGCGATCCAAGGAAATGATAGCAATCTTTCACCTATCCCATTCACAGCTTTGCCTGAAAAGTAATCAGATTTTAAATACTTTTCATAGCATTGATAAAAGCAAATTACTATAGCCAAGAGATTAATTAACCAAAGATAAAAGCCATCAAAAAATTTGCATTTAGAACTTATGTGCTCAGAAAAATATCACTGAAAAATTATCAAAACGGAAAAAAATCGATTACAGAGAAATGTTCGGCTCTTTTTTACTTGACTAGGGAGCTAATAATAGCATAATAACAATGAAAAGTAAGGATCAAAAGTATTTTAAAATTTCGATAATCTTTATTGTGGTTATGTAACTGGAATACCATACAACCAAGAAAAGAGACTAAGGATGCTTTCATGTTGACTCCATATTAAAGAATTTTTTTTGACATTCATTAACTACATTCGAATATTTTTAGGATATTCAATAAATCAAATATTCATGCTCACAAGACAATTCGGTAGCTCAGTGTAACTTACGATAGCAAACGATGTAATAAGCGGATGCTTTCTTCTTCATCTCCATGGTTGGACATTTACAGTATCGTCGCTCAGTCATATCTTTGCTATGAAAATCATCATCTGGTTCCGTACAGGACATAAAATCGCCAAACTCAGCAAAGAAACTAGAGCGGAAACTGAAAGAAGACTGCGGTAGATGACCACGAGATGTTTTTCATAAATCTTTGAAGATTATTGAAATGTTCGAAAAGAAAAAATCTGCTGATTGAATCCGTCATTTTAATATAGAATATATTTTCAATTTGGTATTCTCTCCAAAAAAATCATCTACCTCATAAATATATTCGTAAGTTTTTGCTCAATAAAAAAATTGGTATTAAACTGAGACATATCATCTGTGTCCCTATCACTGATTCGATTACGAATTTTACTGAAACAACCAGAGAATAGCTGATATTCATCTTCTATTCCATAATTATCCATAAGAGCCTGAAAACGCTATCATATGAAAGAGATGGATGAAACAAATAACCTTCGAAGGAACTTTCAAGAAGACATAAAGGAGGTAACACAGCAGAATTATGAAGAAAACATACCTTAATATGAGCGGAGTATGCTATCAAATTTAAATTCGCATTATTCTCATAACTTTCCCAACCATGGTATTCTAAGAGGGGATCCACCACTATTTGTGAATGCCCTTCGGAAACAGCGGTTATTGTAAGGACATCATGAACTAGACGGATGCGCCTGCAAGAGAAATTTCTGACCAGCTACTACGGAAGTACTGGCTAACGAATTAATATAGAGCAGAAAGAACGAAGGACCATCTTGTAGACAAGAAATGGTCTTTTTGTTCATTCTACTCTAGATCTCAGCATAAGCTTATCGATTGCATTATTTCATTGTAGAGACAATTCTATCGAAACAACAACCTTACAGGCAAACTCCGATAACTACACCATCAATTCTGGCAATTTCTAAAAAATAATGCAGAAAATTAACAAATACCTGAATAACTGCCCTACGAGGCGAGTTGAAACATATGAAGGTTCATGAGTTTTGCACATAAAATCAGGCCATCGTTCTGGACGCTCAGGTGGCATAATTTTTCCATCTGGTCCTTTGCTCCATTCTTTGACTAATGGCCGCGGAGGCCATCCTGTTTTCGGAAAATCCACAGACTGAGAATGCTTTTCTGCTATACTAGTGCAAATCTGAAATACCCTCAAAATAACGACAGCACTATATAAGTGAATAATAATTGGTTAGGTCGCACACAGTATATAAATAATATGCTAAGATGCAATCGATTAATAATAAAACTAACAAAATAAAGATCAAAAGTATTTTTTCAGCATTCAGCAGAACATCTTGACAGCGTAGTTTAAGCTTTTAAGATAAATACTTCACTGGGTGAAATATTTCTTTATGAGAAAAAAGGAAGACTAACATCACTGGCAATTCCAAACATATCAGAATTTGCGAGAAAAGCATTCGCTATAACACCAACTGAATCTTGCATGATATATTTAACATAAAAACGGCGCATTTCACGTACCTGAAACAATAATGTAAATAGCAGAACGGTAGAATTTGGAACACTTGCTGAAACATATTATTTTCGAAAGGAAAAATGAACTGCGTTGTCGAAGATAGGAAAAATAAGTAAATAATAATGTAGTATGCATCATCTGAAATATTTATATTTATTAGCAACATGTCCAGTGAATGACCATTGAGAAGTTTCAACAGAAACTAACAACTTCATCCTCCTCTAGAAGATCAGGGGGTCGAACAAGCTTACTGAAATCCATCGGCTCTTCATTATGATCAAATAACATTTGATCATCCCATATAACGCTATATTCATCGCCATCCAAATCAGATCCTTAAAAATGAAAACGAATTCATAGTTTGATTTATTGATTGACGATAACGCACGCAAGACATATGGGATCTGATAAATAGCGTTGAGGACTTCTAGAATGAATATGATTACGATTATGCAGTCGAAAGATCACAGCAAAATCACAGAAAAATTTAAACTCCACACAACAACAGAATAGCGAATAATCATTGTTATAACATGGATGAATTTCGTTTCGTCGAACACACTTGGAAGCTTCTAAAAATCTAAAATGATGACTAACCGGCCATTTCATCCGTATGTGGTCGGGGTCCATGCTGCGGAAAAACAACTACATCAACCAAATGCCGTAATTCAGGTAAATCAATAGCCTCGAAGACCCTTACATCACCAGCAACTATTGACGGATTTTTTGTTATTAACACGGGACCTATAATATAAAAAGTATTCAGATTTCCTTAGTTTAATAGCACCAAATACTGAAAATATTTTTTAACTGCTAAATTACAGTTAAATTGAAAATTTTTGTGCGATCGGTCCTACGGCTGTATTCACTGTATAAAAATTGCAGAGCAGATTAAGACCAACAAACAATTGTGAAATATGCAAACTGTGTGGATAGTAGCGATAAGGAAGGAAATTCATAAAAAAGAGGAGAAATATAAATTGTAAAAAAAGGTGTATACGTAGGACAAAGACACCCATCACGAAAAATATTTTGAAAATGATTGTGAAACCGCTCAATCAGACTGGTACTCAAAACTAAAGTTTAAAAATAAAATGAGCAGCGAAATGCTTCAATGTATGCCCAAATGCTTTGATATTTGGGCATAAATTGAAGATGTAAAAGACAACCACTGGTTCTTAACAAATTTTAAGTAATAGAATATTAATAGTATAAACTCAACATAAATGCTATATTACCTGAGAGTGCATAATAAATGAGAAAATTTTTCTCGAACAGAAATGAACCTTTAACTATTGTTTTTGCTGCAGCCTTTGATGGTGTCTTCAAAGAAACGTTATTGGTAAATTGTACAAATACTTGTCCATATTGAAGTAGTCCAGTCTCATCCAGAATACCAAACATAGTTCGACCAAGATTTGCTGGTATTTGAATTTGTTCCTTAAATAATTGCTTTTCTGAAATAAAGAGCAATTATCAAAATTGCGGAATGTTTGCAAAAATAAAAAATTCATGAAATAACGTTCGGTTTGCAGTTTTCATAATAATATCACAAATACTGATACTACAGGAGTAATGAAATAAATTTTTTATTTTTATTTTTATTTGTGACTGGCCGAAAACTACTACTGTTCTACTGTACTTTATATTATGTATTATGTAAAATACATCATGCAAAAATGGTTTAAGTAATCTAATCTACAATAGGTGAAAATTTGATTTTTTTTTGATTTTAGAATCAATTTTTGTTGAACTTGGTCTCTTTAAATTTGTAATTCATTCCATTCGAATAATTTCTTTTTCTTCGTAATTTCTCACTATGTTGAATGAATCTATTTCTAATTTTTTTCCCTTTTGATTTAAAACCTTCCGTCTTCTTGATTAATTTATCTTGAGCTACTTTTGTTCTTTGCAAATGCCGCGATAACACATTTAAAGGTTAGGGGAAGCGCAATGGATTGGAAAATTTACGTAACGTGAATCGAACACTTGCAATTAGCAGACCACGAAAAAATGGTTCCTGTGTAAGGGTGAAACCTCGTGCTAATGATAAATATTGCACATTGATCCGTCTCGGAAACTCTGCTAGTCTTTCACGACACCTGCAAAGGATAAAAATTACATTTGAAATCTAAAAAAATTTAGATTTTGGTAAAAGCTGATTGCAAAATAAAATGTAAAGGACAATTACTTGTTTTCACTCATTAGCGCATCAGAGAGTTGCAATAGCTGGCGATCTAGTAAACCATGTATGCGATGAACTATGCGTCTATGTACATCAAATCCCTGCATATCGCTTACCTATAATTTTAAAAACAACAGCAGTAATTGTAAAAGGAAAAGATAGTTTCAAGTTACACCTGACAAATTTAACTGAGCGACATCCATGTGACAGAACAAACACTAATACGAATCACACATTGAAAGCAATTTATATATATTTTAGGAAAGTTAAGACGAAAAAGACGGAAAAGTACTAACCTGATCCAGAATATTAATAAACGGTCTATTTAAACAGACTGGTGTTGGACTGGAATATTTCACAATCTCTATCATTTCTTTCCTTGGTGCATGGAATTTATCCTATACAAGAAACTTTTTTTTCAGTAATATTCACAAACCAAAGCAAAATATAGAAATAAAACAAAAAAATGATTTATAGGATTTAGTTTCCCAAAAGAGTAGATTTCGTATTTCGTCTAACCAAATAGAGAGTTACATCGAATTTGAAAACAGAAAAAGAAAATATTTGTGTTCAATAGTTTGTGTGCCTTTCAGTTTCTGTGCAAAAAACTTATCAAATATATGGGAGTAAATGAAATACTGAGTAGGTTATACCTGCGATGGTCTAAACAGTACATCTAAATCGTTCACTTTTTCAGTTTTCCTATTTTTATCCTCTACATCATTGCACTCAGCCCATAATCGGCGTTGTCGCAATGCTGGATCAACAGAAAGCACGCCTTTTAAGCCTCGAAGCCTGAACTATAACCGGAATTATGCAATACTTTATTTAAATTAACAAAGGATTTAAGTCTAGGTAAAAGTAAAAGATTTCACGAAAAATATTAAAACTTTCAAAAATTCATGGGAATTTAGTTCTCACTGACTCCATCTTTCTATCACACTACTCATATTTCTTTCACTGATATCTAAGCTTTGAAAGGAATAATTTAGCAACTAGTATGATGAATCTGCTTTTGGCTGATAGTGATAATCAATTAGGAACAGCTCGATCTTATATACAGTGACAAACGACTGGATAGTTCTATAATGTACAGAAGCTTCTCTGGAAAATACAGATGCATGATATGCACTGGTAAAAGCATATCCAACTAAATTTGAAGGCATAACTCAAACTTGAAAACATTATAAATGTCATTATTAGAAAGTTAATCTTACTTGGAAACAACTAGGGACACATTTGTTCAAACCCAAATCTTTAGCAATTCGCTCGGCAAAATCTTCTGATAATTTCCCTACACCATCTGAGAAAATAAACGGTTCTCCACATGAATCTTTCCCACCTATCACATCGTATGTTTTATTATATTTTTTACGTTTCAAAACAACATCACTTTCCTGAAGTAAAGAACATGAGAGATACAGCTACAACAATATCAAATACAGTTTAACAGATAACTGCCTTTTCATTTGAACTAAGGGAAAAGGATAGAATGAATTACAAATATAGAGCAAAAAAAAGAAAATGGCTGGAATCAAAAGGAAAATTTAATATCCAATTTATACATCAGTATCTCATTTTAATGAATATACAAACAGAACCGAGTATTGTTGTACCTTTGACTGCGTGAAACACTGACCCATTCGAGACATTAACTTTGGAATATTAGTACGATCAAATTTGCCAAGTTTCTCGCGAATCTTTCCCACTCTACCATCATCACCATCATTAAAGAAATAACAACCATTGTCACGCATCTGAGAGTTTGAAGAAGCCAAGTAAACAAAGTGAGAATCTGAAAAAAAAGAAAATAACACCGTAATGGAATGAATTTAATGTGAACTATAGGGCACTGAAGAATATTATATTACAAGCAGCAAAGCAGAACGTGGATATTTTCCCAGTTCAGATGATCATAGGAACAAGACTAGTGACAGTTCTGTGAAGAAGTTATCTGCTATGACAGAATACTGGATTCTAATCTCTTTCATCAGCGGATAAAAAATTATAAAAAAAGAAGTAAAAAAGAGAAATAAAAGGACGATATAAAAAGTACGCCATGAAGTGAATGTAATGAAAATACCGCTAATGACTAATGTTTGGTATATTATTGGAACAGTAACCTTTATTCTTTCGCGGATAATTTCATATAAGATGCTTTTAATATTTTTCTGCTAACGCATCACATTGGCAGTGGTCATTCGAACTATCATTCTGAGCTATCACTCGAAACTATCATTCGCAGATAAAGTTATTGATATTCGGATCAGGTTCTTAATCGAATAAAGTAGGTCAGATTATGAGGCTCTTGAACTGGACTTGAAGCTATTGATATATTAGTTTACAATATTATTTCAATATTATTCCATGCTTGTGAAAGTATCCTACTTGATATGTAAATTCCATGTAGTAAGCAATTATGAACTGTTGTTTCAATAATGTATGATCCGACTTTGTTGCGCCTTAGATGTGTACCATCATCATCACGAAACTGAATCCGTAACGCACGATCACCATGTTCATCAAATTCACGCAGTACGCGATTTCCCATCAGCAATTCCGGAACTACGAGAAGCATTCGAGTAGGTGTTATCACAGCCTGATGATTTTCATTAATAAATAAATGCATCGTTCAGTTTACAATACTAGCTTTGAACATTCAGAAACAAGGTAATCCGAGCACAGTCCTTTTATCTAGCATGATTTCCAAATCTATTGCACTATTAATTGGTTCCTTCTTCCCCTTCAAAATATGAACGTTAAGCAAAGTTTCAAAACCTTTCGAACACGTTGAAATCCTTCGTTGGCACTTCTTTCGTGTATCTCAGCAAGCAAGTCCTTCTTTACAAAAATACTCTTATGTATATTATCAAATGCACTTATCAATGGTGGTATATTTTTCATTTCATCGACCATATTGATCAAACGTTCCAACACTTCTAGTGTTATCTTTAACAAAATAAACTGTTAAAAATTGGAACAGGGTCGATTTTTATCAACTTCATGTATTTTGAAATAAGAAATGAAAATATTATTTCATTACTGAATCTAATTTCAGCAAAACGGATTAAGACTATAAGAAAATTAGTAAATACGGTAGAAAGAAGAAAGAAGCGAAGACAGCAAACTTTGTAGTGACAAATTTTAGTAGAAAAGTTTACTCGTTTTTCAAGCACATATTTTTTAATTTCCAATAAAAATAAGCTTTAAGATCGTTTTTTTTTACACAAAAAATAAAAACGGATGTAACGAGAACGAAAATAGAAAAGAAAAACTCACAGCTTCGTCTTGCTCGTAGCTATCCACCACATGCATTAGAAATTGATTTCTTGATTCAATAGATCTCTGAAATAAATCAACTGCATTGTGTTGGAACTCTATCCGTAATCTTGATTACCGTCAGGTTCGGTAAAAACCAGAAGAAAATATTTTAAGAAAAAAGTATTCAAAACAAATCATATAAGTACAATGCGGTAAATGGGAGATAGTAATTACAAAGCTAACGATTAATAAACGGCTTGAGGAAATCAAATAATTCTAAACTATATGAATTACAATTAGTAAAAATTTTGAAAAAAAAACTTTATGAACAAATTCAATGTGAAAATTATGTGCGTACCAGCAACTGATCTTTTACGACAGCACCACGTGACAATAATGCTGCAATCAAATATTCCAGTCCAAAAGAAAGTGACCTTAGTTTTTTGGACCAAGTCCTATCAACATTCGGTTCCATGGGCTCATATAATTTGCCGCTTTGTAGAATTGCCTCCTCACTAGCACATTTTCGATAGTCACAACCAATCATTCGAACTGGTAATGCCACGTAACTAAAATTATCCAAGTGATCTGCAAAATTACCCACGTACTCACTTCACTCATCAGTTACTCAAATTTAACTAAATCAGTGCCTGATAACTGAACTAACGTTTAATTTTGAAACTAGTTGGAAGTGAAAAGCATTTTAACAATCGAATTTTACTAAATTATCAAGTCCTACGTACATTTTAATATTAATGCTTAGCTTTGATTCATAGTAAATGCTAAACTTCGTTTGTTAATCAAAATATCTGATAAAATTTTATCAATGACGGTGAACAATGCTTACTTGTCGACGGGAAAATATGAAAGCCGTACATTGGCGAATTCAATCGGAAGGTTGACGCGGGCATGCAACCTACTCAATAGCCTATACAACACATCATTCTAAAAATAAAAAGCAATAACTGCCCTAATGATTGTGCAGAAATTCTATGGAATCTAAAAGTAGAAATCTCCAATAAATATCAGCAATAATCTATATTTGGTGATTAAAGTATAAAAAAGAGAAAAACCAAAACTACTCTTACATTCGTCATTTCTGTGAACTGCAAACAAAAGACTGGACTATCGTTAATAGCGGTGACTGCCGCGTTAACATCTTTTTGAAAATCTGTTTCTGGATAAAACCTACAAATAAATCCTCTATCATTTCGAAATTTGACCTGTGCTCTCAGAATTTAAACATGGTAATCACTTTAACTAGAATTATAGCTACATAGTTCCGGTATTGAGTTAATTGAGAAGCAATGGAAATATTTCCATTGGAAATATTTAGAAATATTTTCGGTCGTTTTTTTTCCAAATTTCAAAATTTAGCGAGATTTATGACCGACCTGAATCGTTCACCAACTACTTCCATTTTTGGTCCTCGCAGCAAATTCAGTTTTTGACGAAATCTACGTATTTCAGGAGGATAATTCAGATGGAAATAAATTCGCGTTATACAAGTTCTCCTGTTTGTGTCAACTAAAACTCTTGTGTCAACTAAAATACGACGTAGGGAGATGTAATGAACCTGAAAATATTTGCAGCTCTTTAACAATAATTATTGCAAAACTAATTATAATTCTCCATTTATTACTTACACATAATTTATCACCAAAAGTATTGAAATGGCACGAAATGGAGCTGTTAATGAATTATATCAATGGTATTTAGAACAACATTTTTGAATCAGTTGATACTCGGCTTGGAAATGTTTTACTTTTACTTTGTCCAATTACTGTAAGCTATTCTTTTTTAATTTTAAAAATGAATTATTTATATTTTGAATTGTTCAAATTTTTAATTGGGTTATAATTTGGACTAAAAAAAAAGTTATTTTTAGCTAATTTGTATTTATGGTATAAATATATAATATATATATATGCATATTTTAAAATTTGTTAAACTTAGTTATTACTTAAGCA